TGAGAAGTTAGCCCCAAATGTAGAAAATTAAACAGCACCAAATGTTTGAAGCACCCTCACCTCCATGGTCATCGGTGGAGCTTGCTCTGGGCACCTTGAGGTATTAGTCGAGAACAGCATGAAACCCTCCTGATTGGCAAGGCCTTTACAGACTGAGCTTTCAGAACATGAAGACAAACACCCGCACATTTCCGCAGTGATGGTTAGTTATGTGCTGTTGCACCCGGTTCTTTTTGATATTTCCCTACGTAATGATAAATATTTGGAAGGCTCCTTTAAAGTTTCTTGCATAACAGCATAAGACAAAAAAAAATCCAACACCAGGCACGCTTATTCTTTCTGCTGTGTAAAAAAATGCCGGAATCAATGAACACAAACTGTTCTGTCAAAAAAAAAAAGGAAATAATCAGTTGACAAACCAAAAGCTATATCTTTGTCAGGAAATACTGTTGCAAGATGTAGAGAAAATGCTCCTCTTGATTGAAAAATAAAAAAAGTTTTAGACCAGATTACCTCATGTGGGAAGTTTGCTATACAGTTGGCTAAAAGTACAGGTGTTTCTACATATCTCAGCTTAATGTATTTGTGCGATTCTGGTCCAATAATGAAATAGTGTGTGCCACTAAAAGAAAGATATAGCAGGTAAGATACATTCCAACAATTAATACCTTGTTTGAATGAAAGCAACATCATGTGGGGAAAAGGGTGTCTAAGTGCACCCATTGATGGAACGGTTACTCAGAAAGGACTGTTTTTTAAAGGATTCTGGATGAGGAAAGTGTGCAGAGGCAGCAAAACCTGCAAATGTCACTCACTGGCCCACCCATGGTCAAACCAATGCAGGAAAGAACTGGAAACCCGGAGAGCACGTGCAATGCTGTAGGAGCCTTTAGTGGTGTTAACTTTCTAAAACCAAGATTGTCCCAGTAGAGGAGAAACTTTATGACAGATACAGGCAATAGGTAATAAGATTGGGGTGACCATGTAACCTTTCCAGATTGACCACAGAATGACTCATCTTTGCAGTAAAGTATTGAAGAGTCATGAGTCCTCCCGCCCTCCTTCTTCCCAACTTCCCTTCCTTCTTAAAGATCAATGAGCTGATATTTCTTGAGGTGACAAGAGCTCTCAGCTTAGGCACCCAGTAAAATGCACTGGAAAAAAAAACCACTTTCTGTACATCTGCCTCCTCCAGGTAAAGATGTTAAAACTGATGCTTGATGATGTGTCCATGAAGGATACATGATTTTGTGGCCAATAATGTATTTCACTGATAAAATCTTTCATGCCTACACTTAAAAAAACATGGAAACAGAAACTGCTTTTTAAAATTTAGGCATAGTTTACATACCACCAAATTCACCCTTGTAAACTGTACATTTCTGTGAGTTTTAGAATGTTCAACATTGTGCAAGGAAACCCACTAATTCCAGAAATTCTGTTTTTAAAATCTGCCTCTTTAAAATGTAGAGTTCCCTTGAGTTTTGGACCCGTTCATG